TACTTTTATTGTTATCTTTGCTATCACTCCCCTACCAACACCACATTACTTTCATCAGCAGATCCGCTTCTTGAATCGCCTTGTTGGTTGTGTACAAACGTGGCTTGCCGCCTTCTTTTATATAAGCGACAACACCTTTATCCACTAGGAGGTTTATTTACGCGTAGCAACAAGTGGTACCGCTTCGATCTATATACAGCTAACAGCAGCCAAACCATATAGCGCCAAGAAGGGTGACTTGGTGTAGTGCTATAGTAAATGTAGGTAAAGGATCAGATCTACGTATGGCAAAGGTCAATAACACGATGGTTTATTTTCTAGTACGAGTTTTCTTTTTAGGATGTCGGGTTTGGAGTCTAGCGTTAGAAGGAAGGCGATGGCTTGTTGTAATTCGGAATGGGGACCTTCAAGTTTGCTGATAATTGCAAGTAGACGATTATTCGAGAAAATTGATTCTTCAAAGGTGCGTTTAAATTTGTTGATTACAGCCTTCATCGCATCACGAGGATTACCCAGAGGAGCATCCATTCCAGTAGGTTCAGGAGCTGAAGATGATGAATCGGAAGAGGAAGCGGAGGATGACACATTGCTAGGATTGGGTGAGGAACCAGGTAATAGTAAGGATTGCGAAGTGCTTGTATTTCGATCGATAATGACAGTTGAAAAGTTATATTTTTATTTGGGTACTAGTTGACCTCAGTCTGTTAGGCAAGTGGTCGACCCATTGACAAAACGATGTGTATACAGATTAACGATGGCTATGTTATATGATTTGTGGAGTGGTGCGTTAAAAAACCTCAATGAAGAAAAAGATAACCATCATGTGAGAGAGGATAGAGAGAAAAGAAAAGGGAAGTTTCGATACGTAGTGGAGGGATCTAAGGTAAATTATGCATTGGTATCCATTTCAGCGTTGCTCTCTGATAGGAGCAAACGCCGAGCTTCCTCAATCGGTGGTATTACTATAGCTGCACGTTCACGACGTGTTAATCTTGGGCGCATGATTTGAAATTGTTTCTCAGCGATTGCATCCATATGGTGTGGATCATCTTCTGCAAGAGACACAAAATGTCGCAAGATAGCTGCTCCGAGGTATGCCTTAGGTAAGCGGGCACATGCACGTAACATCCTATTGCTGTAGAGCTCTTTCGCTTTGGCCGCACGTTGTTCATTAGTATAATCGGCATATTCCGGATTGATAATTGTTGCTGCTGCTGTGGGGGTGAAGTCTACAGGGTTTACCTTTGCCTGTTTAAGTAAATCCAATAACTCGGCTTTGAAGTCTGCATGAATCAACAATCCTATGATGCCGCGGATCGGGAAATGTACATCGATGATTCTTGCTTGTGGTATCTTGAAGATAGCAAGAGCGCGTCGTGCTTCACCATGCGATGTTCGTTGGGGTGATTTCAGATAGACAATGCCATAACGTGCACGTTGTGGTACACGTTGATTACCATCCATAGTCTCCGTAGTGTTGCTGGTGAATTTTCTCATGGCCCAAGCAATCATGCCATCAGTAGGATTATCCAATCTTTGTTTTCTTCGTTGTGTACGGGTACTGTTTTTCTTTGCAATACTTGCATACGACACTTTTTTCATTGGCGATGCATGTGCATGAATCGAATCTTTGGTGGATGATCCTGCTTGTGCAACAGTTGCCATGGCTGCGGCTACCTTATCACATGCCTTCCCAATTGGATCTCGCGAGTCGTCCTCATCGTCAAATACCATTTCAGTATTGTGTGTGATCTCCTGCTGCTGTGTGTTGTGTTGCAAATCATCCAATTTCTTGCGCAACATTGCATTGTCCTCCTTAAGTTGAGCATTTTCCTTAAGAAGCACATGTACTGGCTGTAACACCTCGTGGTGTTGGGCTAGCTGTCGGGCATTTTGCTGGATCTGGCGCTGTAAATTGCGGACCCAGTCGAAGGCGTTTGTTGGCGTTGATGGGTCTGGTTGCTGATCGTTCATGTCGCTTCGTACCTGTTCTGCCCAATCTGTTGTATTCTGTAATTGTTTATGGATATGATACCTAGAAACATAGAATAGACCTTTCCACTACACATTCGAACGTTCCTTAGAAGCACATGACATGTCAACAACAACAATAGAATAGTATAAATAAGCATCCATCAAGCAGCTAGAAACCATGGATCCATCATCTTTGATCTTTCATACATAAAGACATACACACGAGTCCTAAAGGATTTATCTTGTCTCTTCTCTTCTTTATTGAAACATCACATTTTTTCCTTTAAGTTCTCTATCCTATGTCTCAACCAACCTCAATCAGTGGTGCTGATACCCAAGCACAATCATCTCCTGAACCAATCTCTCTTGGATCACCTATTTCCATTCAAGCTGCTTCATCCATGGGCGATTGGGACACGGCGTCTATCTCGCAATTGCTTGAAGAGCCAATGGATCTGGACTTCGGCATGGACCAAGCTTTGAGTGCCAACAGTGTGTTGTCGTCAAACATTAGCTTTCATGACACAAGCAATACACCTACCACTCCTGAAACAAGCGTACAAGCCAACAGCCAATTACCTACCGGGACCATTCATAGCATTCACGCAAGCTCTGAAACGTTGCTTGACAACGCCATCAACCAATACAAACAACAATTGGACGAATTGATCAAGACGTTTACACGTGCCATGGCTGCTGGAAACCGTAATCATCTCAAAAGACTGT